GAAAGAAGAGGTTGTCGGATGGGAGGTGCCCAGCCGATGGCAGGTGGGAACCCCAAAATGCTGGGGTTGTTTATGCAGTCCCTTCAGGCTTACAGAGAGGCCGGTGCCTGCTGGCACCTCTCAGTGCAGGGCAAGCTCTCTGCTTCTGACACCCACAATGCAGCCCTCAGGACCTCCACACCTCTAGCTGGGATGTCCCATGTCCTCAGAGTGCCAGCGGCTCCCAAACTCACCCCTGTCCACAGGACACTGCTCATCTCCACTGCCCCAGCAGCAAGGCTGGGCCAAACAGAGCATGGCGGCTCCTTCAGCATCCCCATGCATGATGTCCCTGCATCTCCTCCAACCCAAGCTGCTCCTGGGTACCTGACAGCTCATCCCCCAGCATCACCCCCTTGCTGCCTGGCCTGGCCCTGGCATCCTGCACCACCCCGCTTCCAGCCTGGAGCCCTGCCTGGCATAGATCCCACCCGCCTCCCTGCCAGGTCGGTGTGAAAATAGGTGACTCCAGAGGCAGGAGCATCCCCTGTGCCTCCTGGCTCTCTGCCCCTCGACTGAATACACCTCCCTGTGTCAGGGGAACCCACAATGCAAATCAGCTTCTTAAATGAGCCTGCCCTGCTGCCACAGACCGGTGTCTCCCTCGAGGCCCCAGCCCTGTCCCACACCGGTACCTGCAGCTGCCTGCCGGGTGCCCAGGGTGCTCTGCCCTTGCCAGTGCGCCCAGGGAGGCCACCCTGACCCCCCTGCAAGGTCCAAGGGCATACCCGCTCTGCCTTGGCCCAGTGGATGCACCAGCAGGAGATGTGATACCTGAGGAGACCGTGGCTTGCTCCAGCATCTTCATCCACCCTGGCACAGGAACCAGTGTGGGAACAGGGGCAGGACAGAACTCATTACCGACTAAGTGGCCCCACCAGCCCGAGACGCTTCAAGCATTCCCCCCTTCCCTATCCACCCCCCAGCCTCTCTCCCTGGGGAGCGTGGCAGGGCTTTCCCATCGCTTACAGACTCAACGGGTGCCCCCTTGCTCTGCCCCTGCTCTGGCTTTGGTGCAGCTGAGCTGGGCTTGGACCACTCTATTGCCCTGGCTGGGACCTGCCCATCCCTCCCTGCCACCCACCCCTGTCCCTCAGGGTGATGCCAGGGTGCCCACCCAGGGGCACAGGGACAGGGGGGGCAAACGCTCCTCTCCTCTGCTCCCTGCAAGTCCAGAAGGGGGGCTCTGCAGGGCACCCATGGGGCGAGGGGCAGCTCCCAGCGGCTGCACGCTGCCTCCCACCCGGGCCCCTTCCCCCAGCACACCCCAGGGTCCTGGGGGAGCAGTAAATCACTGCCAGACGAGGGTGCATTCTTGGGCTTTGTGAAGCCCCGCGCTGTCTGGGAGCATTGGTAATTGCTTCATTACAACACGGGGAGACATGTCCCGGCAGTAAAACCTCAGCGTGACTGCACCGGGGAGCACAGAGCAACCCCCTACACACACACACACACACACACACACACAGAGGTTAGCACGCCCAGACTCTGCTCCAGGAGTCCCGGGGAGGTGTGTGACCAGGTGGCTGGAAGCTTCTTGGGAGATGGGAGGCTGAGGAAGCGCTGGCCTTACCCTGCTGCAGGATCTTGCCGAAGTACTTGCTGTGGCTGGTGCAGTTCCAGCGGCGGAAGCGGAATTGGTACTGGCACTCCCGGACGCCCAGCTTGGTGCCCTTGGCCACCTCCTGCACGATCTCTGGCTCCAGCTGGCACAGCTCTGCCTGCTTCCCCGCCAGCCGCTTCGTCTTGCGGCAGATGCTGTTGGGGTCCATGACCAGGGGGCTCCCCACTGCCCTGCAGGAGGGACAGAGAGCAGAGCAAAACCAGCATCCAAACACGGGGGGCAGCAGGGTTGGGATGGGGCACAGCCAGACCTGCTCCCAGGGGTGGAGCAGGGACGTGGGGCAGTGCTGGCTCAGCACTGAGCCTGGGTGGCAAGGGGACAGGGAGACGTATGCAGGGAGGCCAGGACAAAAGGCATTGGTGGCATCTGTGTGCCAGCACCCGGGGGAATACCTCGCCCTGCCCAGCCAGTCAGGGAATGGGTGAGAACCCCAAATGTGGGGCTGGCTAGAGGATGATCCTGGCACATGCCACACCACAACCTGAAGCCCTTGAGGACATCCCTGGAGGTGATAGTGGTGTCCCCAGTGGGAGGTGACAGAGATGCTGTGCTGATCAGCACCTGCTCTTTGGGTCTGGTGCTGACCGGGCACAGCCCTGGCATCCCGGCGTGACTGATGCCCGGTGCAGCTGCATCTCCCGGAGCCCTGTGGGTGCAGCGGGGAGCCCGGCCAGTGCTCTCAGTGCGCCTCCCCCTCCCCAGATGGGGACTTGCTGCTTTACCCCGTGGGAGACGAGCCGAGTGACCTTGCCGGCGATAAAGCCCCTTGGCTGCTGGCCAGGCTCCCATGCTCACCTCCCCCTGCCCAGGCACTGGCCCCATGGAAAGAGAGCAGTGGGCGGGCAGGGGTGCGCGAGGGAGGGATGCAGGTGGCATCGCCAGCCCTGCCAATGCCAGCGCGGGAGGGCAAGTCTCGGCTGGGCCCGTGCCAGAGGCGGCTGCTCCTCGCCAGCACAGCTGGAGCGAGGTGCCTGCCTCCCCGGGCTGGTAGGCAAAGTCTGAGCATGACACCACGCTCCCCAGCATGCTGCGGGCTACAGAAACTCCTGTACTTCCCCCACACATTTTGGCAGCGGGCAGAGGGCAGGCACGCCGCGCTGACGGCCTCCCGCCCACGCCGCCTGTCCCATGCCATAGAGACCGCGTGGCCACGGGCCACTCAAATTTATCACACCCCAAACACATCCCCACTCAGCCTTCCCTTGCCTCCAGCGCCACTCCCGTGGGCTCAGAGCTCATCCTGCTCAATAACATGATTTTCCTGGCTGTGGATGCCCATAGGACACCAGGGCTGGACACAGCATCCCCCAGTGATTTGGGATACCCGAGGACTGTGAGGCCACATCCCCTGGGGTTCGCTGGGGACCAGCACCCGGGCGGCCCGTGCTGCCGGCAGCCCCACTCGCTGGGGAGCACCGGCTGCGCTGCAGCTTCCAAACCCAGACCTTTATAGTCTGGCCAAGCCCTGGGGGCTCGAAAATCACAAGCTGAATCTCGGTGTTTAACTATGTGGGTTTCCTTTTTGCTCTCACGCAGCTGGGGGGCTGTGTTTGGGACACCAGGCTGCAGGACTTTGCCTGCCATCCTGCCCCCGGTGCAAACCCCCTCCAAGCCCCTTGTTTTAAGCTTGAGGTCCTGCCAGGGTCCCCCTGCCCCACGTCAGGCTCCCAAGATACCCCCATCTGGGTTTGGGGAGTACGTGCCCGCTTGCACAGCCTGGAAAAGGAGCCTTTATACTTTGGCTGGAGGTTTAAAGGGTTAAACAGCTCAACCAAGGGGCGCAGCCTGGAAAGGTGACCTCCAGCAGGGAAACTGAGGCAAGACCACACAGCTGCCGGGGAGCACCCATCTGCCTTTGTTCCTCGCAGCTTGGTTTCCCTTTGCTGCATGATGCATGGGCGCCGCTGCAAAGGGACGGGGCAGCTGGGGAAGCATTGTGGGGGCTGTGGCTGGGCTGGCACAGGTCCCCCATCGATGGAGAAACTGAGGCCCACATGGAAAGCCACCAGTGAACTTGTCCAGTCCCACTCCACAATGACCATGTGGGGATTCAAGCCCCCGTGCCAGGCTCCGAGCTCACCCTCCTTGGGGACCATGGGCTCCCAACATTCCCAATGGGACAGCAGAGGTTTGGCCGCCTGCTCCGGTGGGGTGGGGAAGAAGGGGATCCGGGACGGGACTTTCATTAAAAGACGACTCTTTGTACTCATATAAAAACGATGCGCCAGCCCCTCGGGGCCATCAGATCAAATGCTGAACTGCGGCTCACCCCAGCCCGCTGGATCAGGCCGGGAAGAAGAGATCAGCCCCGTGGGGCCAGGGGGCGGCGGGCGGCTTGCCGGCACTGCGGGGGTCCCCACCCATGGTCCGGGCAGCGGTGAGGCCGG